CCCCACCCCACCCCCCAGTCCTTGGAGGAGGGAGCCTTTCCGCACTTGTGAGGAGGGGCCCTCGCTGACGCAGCAAGCTTGGAAGGGCCCCTGGATGGGACCTCTGCCGGGCCGCGCAGATCTAGAGGATTTGCGGGGTGGGGTAGGGGGGGGCTGCGGTCGCAGCTTGGTTTGTGCTGAAGAGGCCAGGTCCGGAGACCTGTGACCGACCAGGAAATCGCAAGGATTCTTGTCGGAGGAAATCTGACGGGGCGGCGGGAATGGGCTCTCGCTCTGGTGTTGGGGAGGGGAGCTCTGTGGCTCTGGTCTGGAAGTCCCTGTATCCTGGGGCCTTTCCTGCTAAACTGAGTAACCGTGGATCTCTGGGAAGGGTGGTCACTCCCTGGGGGGCAGTGCACCCAACCCGCTGTCCTCAGCTGGGTTTCAGCAGAGGGCCCCTTGCCTTGTGCAGCTGCTGCTGCTCCAATGGTGGGCAGGCTGGTGACGGGCAGGCTGGTGACGGGCAGGCTGGTGATGGACATCGCATGCCCGATGTCCATTGTGCTGAGGCCCATTTAGGGGTGTGGCACAGGGAGGATGTTTTTTCTGGAAGCCGCTGTTGCTCTGGTCAGAGACCTGGGGTGTGGTGAGCAGCATCTGCCTTCTCTCTGCAGCCTGAACCTCAACACCAGCCATGGGCGTATTCTGCTGGATTACTCCAAGAACCTGGTGACGGAGAATGTGATGCAGATGCTGGTGAACCTGGTAATGCTTTGCTGTCTGAGGCTGGGCCTGTGACCTCAGCGGGGGCCCCCAGGTCCTCCAGCACCTTTTCTTCCTTCCTCTCTGGAATTCAGTGGCTGCCTCTGTGCCAGTGCAGACCCCTGAGCTCCGCCCCTGGTGCGGGGCTGCGCAGCCTCCCCAAGGCCCCCAGTACTTGATTCTGGAGCAGGCCCTTCCCAGGCCATGGGGAGGGTGCCAGGCCACAGCCACCTGTCAGCCCCATTAGGGGTTGCACAGGCCTTGTGATTAAGAGCTGGGACTTGGCCCCATGCAGGTGAGGCCAGGCCTCACTGTCTTCTCTTCCCAGGCCAAGTCCAGGGGCGTGGAGGCTGCCCGGGAGCGTATGTTCAGTGGCGAGAAGATTAACTTCACTGAGGTGAGCCGGCCTGGTAGACACCAACTCTGCATACACCCCAGGGCCTCTTCCTTCCCTCTGGATTTCATCAGCTGTTAGTGGTATCCGTTGTGTCTTCACCCCTCCTCTTTGGCAATGCTTTTGCTTAATGAGGGGTGTGCTTTCCCCTAGACTGGTAGCCTAATCCAGTGAACTGGGGAGGGGCCTCAGTACCTGCCTAAGGAGAGCTCTCCTTGGGCCTGCAGGGAGAGAGCTTCTCCAGGCTTGCTCAGCAAGCTTAACTGTGATTGTTGCTGCAAGTCTTATTGAAAAGACGAATCATGTCAAAAGACCCACCTCCTCAGTAAGTGGGAGAAGTCAGTAAGAAGTAGTGGCCAGGCCAGTTTCTTGGAGGCCCTATTTCTGAATTGCCAAGGAAGCCTGGAACCTCATATGAGAAACCCTGAGGCTCAGAGCTCAAGTCATTTGGAGACAAAGCCAGCATTCAAATGTGAACCTATCATGCACTGCTGGCCAAGGCAGTCAAGGAAGGCTTCTTGGAGGGTGCATCTGCCTATGGAATATGAACAGGAGTGGGGAGGGCAGGATGGCATGAAGCTTTTCACCCTAAGGAGCCTCCCCCTGAGATGGGATTTGGAAACCATTCCTTTCCTACCCACTTGGGGTCTTTAGACCTGTTTCTACTGGCTTCAGCATGATGGATGGTTGCTGTCAGCTGACAGGATCAGCTGCCTGGCACCTGGCACAGACTTAAGTCTGGTTTATTTCCAGCAGTTGGTGGATGGGGTTGCATGGTGGGAGAAGCTTAACTTTCATATCTTTCCCCGCATTCAAGGGGCAAAGGGAAGTTCCCAGAAGGTGCCAGCAAACACTTTGTTCTCATCAGGAAGATGAGATTGCTTTAGGCCCCATGAGCCCTGGTCCTGCAGCCACTTGTCACTCACCTGTGTGGACACTGCTCTCTGCCTTTGCTCACTCCTTTCTTTCCTGGACTGTTGCCTTCTGAGCACCTCTGGGTCCTCGGAGCCACCCTAGGCTTACCTGGTCACCCTTTTTGTGGCTGTCTTGCCTCCCCTCAGCTCCTGGGGTGGCCTCTACGTGCATAGACACGTCATGGGGACTGTGCAAGCATGGCGCTGACAGACCTCAGGCCTCTTGTCCAGTGGCCACGCTGCAGCCTTGGGCTCATCGGGGAGCGTGGCTGCCTGGGGTGGAGATCTTCACACTCGCTTTGTCCCCAGGACCGGGCAGTGCTGCACGTGGCCCTGCGGAACCGGTCCAACATGCCCATTTTGGTGGATGGCAAGGACGTGATGCCAGAAGTGAACAGGGTCCTGGAGAAGATGAAGTCTTTCTGCCAGGTAAGCAGCTGCTGGGCAGGACTTGCCCTTGGCCAGTGTGTGCATGTCTTTGGGAATCTGGGGAGTGGGATGTGTCCCCTTTCTGCTCTCCTTGCGAGTAGGATTCAGCCCTCCCTGCAGCCGGCGGTGGGGGCAGGGGTCTGTGTGAGTCTCAACTGGGTGCCTCTGATCCTACTCCCAGGGGAGCCCTCACTGGCAGCAGTGAGCTGTGGCCATCTGTGGGCACATGGGGACAGCCTGGCCCCAGCTTAATAGAACCAGATTAAATAAATGTCTTCAAATTTCCCTGATCACATCCCTCCCCAACTCTCCAATGCAGCCTTTGTGAGATCTCTCCTGAAGTTTCCTGCATATGCATGAGTATGTCATACACACCTGGCATCTCTCCACACCACCTGAAGCCTGTACATAGTGAGCATGGACGCACGTGGCTGCACTTTCACCTCTTCTGCAGCTGCCTGGCTGCTGTCCATGTGCTGCCCCTGTTGGTGTCCGTGTGCAGAGCTGCCTCCTTTTCCCGTGGGTGAGGGTGTTGGGTTGCCTCAGAGACCAGCTGGGAATTCCACCACGTCAACCCCTTCCATCTCAGCGGTGGTTCTGCAAGGGCCTACAGGCATCCGCACGCCCAGAGTCCAAGGGTGATGTCTGAGGCCCTACGTGTCTCTGAGGGTGTGACCACAGACCTGATATCTGTGTGTCAGGCCTAAGTGCCCCTGCGAGCGATAACCCAGCCTCTAGTCAGCCTGTTTCTGCCACCAGCAGGCTCCACTTGTGGCTGATCAAAGTATGGTTGCTCTGGCCAAGAGTCCTTTGTGGACCTGAAGTGGCTGCAGGTGATTGGGTGTCCACAGGAATGACTTCCTGGGGTGAGGAAGGCTCAGGATGCTTCTGGGTGTCTGGATTCCAGAATGCCCCTTGCAGTGGCTGGCACGACGGTGGGCAGGGGCATTTCCAGCCATGTGCCTGCCGTGTGTGGCAGAGCTGACGTGCCCTGGAAGCCTGGTTCTGTCCGATGCGCCCGTGTGTGCTCTGGCCTGTCGGTGGACATTGTGACACCGGCCATCTGGGCGTCGTCTCCAGAAAGGCCCTCCCTTAAGCTGGCTGCTGGTTACCTGACTCAGGCTGCTGGGATATTTATAGTCCAAAAAAGCTGCTGAATGGCAGCCATTCCGTGATGAAGAACACACCCATGGCTGTATGCTTCAAAGTCTGCCAGCATGGGTGAAGATGCTCCCCTGGGTTGGTGTAGTGGCAGAAACCAGAACAACCCGGACTCTTGTCAGAGGCCCAGTGAGCCAAGTCAGCACACCAGCGTCGTCACATAGTCCTTGACACAGTTAGGAGTCAGGGAGCCAAGATTTCATTGACCTCCCACATGATTCAGAATACACTATGAAGTTGGAAAGGAAGTTACAAAACTGGTGTCTCGTAAAACCCCATCTGGTCAAATAAAGGTGTGTGTTGTTATGCTAATAGATATTCTTGGTGTTTCCCTCCCTGGGATTCTTTATATATTTTTTTTTTAAAGATTTATTTATGCATACAGAACTGGGGTACAAGCCAGAGGTGCAGGGGTGGTGAGAGGCTTCACCAGAGAGAGTGGGGAGCAGAGCAGGCAGATTGAGGAAGCACCCTGCCAAGAGGAGTGTGCTGTGCCTTGGTGGGTCAGCTCTGGGTGTGGGGATCGAACTCGTACAAGCGGGTGCAACCAGTTTGCAGTGCTATGTCCTGACCCGTTGTGCCTCCAGGGAGAGCCCAGGGATGCTTTATTTTTATTATTTGTTTGTTTGTTTGTTTGTTTTTTGTGGGAGGGAAGAACTTCATTGTTACAAAACATTTACCCTGAGATTGAGGGTTGAGAATGGAGCAACTTATTTGTATGGATTGGTGGAAAGTTTCCCATGGCAGTTGATCACTTTATTGTTTAAAAGCAATAGATGTTGGGGGCCCTCCCTGGTGGGGCAAGGGGTTGAAGCCAAGGAGTATGAAGCTGTCCACAGCCGCTGCAGCTTGGGTTCAATCCCCGGCCAGGAAGGTGGCGCGGCAGACCTCTCCTGACCCGCCCGCTGCTCCCCTCAGCAGTGTATTTCAGTTGATCCTCCTGTTCTGCTCCCCTCTCTGTCTCTGGGGAATCTTCTCACCCTCTGCACCTACCCTAATTAGAATTAGGCCTACCCTAGTTCTTCTATGCCAAAAAAAAAAAAAGAGTTGCTGCATCTTGTTGGTTTGGGGAAGGGCAGGTCATAATCATTGCTGGCTGATGTGTAACAAATTGGGCCAGAACTTGGCAACTGGAAACCGCGGTCACCAGTTATGTGGGCGGGAAATATTCAGTGACTGAACTGGCTGATTCTGGTCAGACCCCTTGCACACTGTGGTTAAGATACTGACCCTGGGCAACTCTTCTGCCCACCTGTGACTGGCAGGTGACTCTTTTTCTAATAACCCTGTTCTTTACAAAAAAAAAAAAAACTTTGACCTAGGGGGCCTCGTGACAGTTAGTGCTGGCTGGTGGGACAGCCCAATCCTGGCCTCTTCACCCTCCTCAGGGTGGCTGGCTTCCCCCAGGGGGAGCCATCAGAGAGAACAGGCAGGGTGCCTCAGGGCAGTTAAGAGCAAGTTCCCTTTCATTTCATTGAGACCTTCTCGGTCACCCAGGTCAGCTCTGGACAAAGTGGGAGGGACCAGGATGGAATGTGGTGCCAGCAGGCAGATCTGCGGAGCCACCAGGGAGGGGCCTGTCATGGTCCCCTCTGGCGCGCAGTGATGCCTTGTGCTCCTGCTCACTCTCCTAGGGCCATAGCCCTTGGCAGTGGCAGCTGGAAGTCTAGACTCACAGCGAAATTAGGCAGCCACACAGCAGTACCTGTGTTTTCTTTAACATAACGCAAATACGGTGGTGCCTTGTGATCTGAAGATGCACGAATTCAAGACACCGTTTATCTAGCCCTCTCGTAGCTGACATGCAGGAGTGAACTATACGTGGGTAACTGATGGAGGGTGATTCTGTCTCAAGAAGGGGGACAACGGATGTGGGAGGCATACAGGAGGCACTGGACCAAGGCCATCCTGAAATCCACCAGGACACCTGTCACTCGAGACACAGGAATTACTCCTCCAGGCTTTTCGCTCTGCCTTTGTTCTTTTTACAGAGCGGCCGCCGTGTGGCTGCTGCGTGGTTTCCTCAGCCACATCTGAAGGCTCCTTTCATGCCCCGGCTTTAGGCTGCTTTTGTGACAGTGCCCTGGATTTGATCTTCGCCAAGAAACTGGCATTTTAGCATCACTTGTTGCCTGGAGATGCTGGAAATTTTCAAACCTGGCAATTTCCTAATTTTTGTTGAAAAGTTCTCTTGGCAGTTTTCTGTTCTTTTTCCTTTTATTGTAAGCACCGGGGAGCCAGGCAGTTCCTTTAACGCAGCCTGTAGCTGGATCGTCAGCTCAGAAGAGGGGTCTCTTGCACTGTCCCCATAAACACGAACCACAGCGAGGCTAACTCTCCTTGCATGATAAGGAGTATAATCAGGGCTCTTTCCTCGGATTTCCATTGTTTTCCTTCCATTTTTTTTGAACCTCCTCCAGTGGCCCCTCGGAGGACTATCAGACTGCTAACAGACTCCCCGGTGTCTCTTAGACTTTCACTAACTCTCAACTCAAGGACTTTTGAGCTTTTTTTTAATATTTATTTTATTTATTAATACAAGAACTGGAGTACAGGCCAGAGGTGCAGGGGGTGAGAGGATTCATCAGAGACAGAGTGGGGAGCAGAACAGGCAGGTTGACTAAAACACCCTGCTGAGGGGAGCAGCGGGGAGACAGGAGAGGTCTACTGCGCCCTGTGGGTCAGCTCCCTGGCTGGGGATCGAACTCGTGCTGCAGTGGCTGCAGACAGCTTCACAGTGCTTGAACTTTAACCCCTGCATCAGGGAGGCCCTTGCCACACTTTAGGTTTCTGTTACGGTAGTATTAATACCTCTGGTACCAAGATCTGCACTAGCTGTTTGCCATTGTCTAACAAATCACACCAGAACTCGAGTGGAAATAGCAGTAACTGTTTATCATCTCACATAGTTTCTGTGGGTTAGAAAAACTCGGTAATTGCTGACTGGTTGGTGGTGGTTTGGGACCTTGTGGAGGGGTTGTCATGGAGATGTTGGCCAGGGCTCCCTTTTTCTGAAGGTTTAGTGGGTTCTGGAGGATCCTCCAGGGGAGTTCTCATTCATGCTGGGGAACAGTGCTTAGTGTCCCCCAGAGTAAGTGACAAGAAAGAGCAAAGTCTTGCCTGACCCAGCCTCTGTCATCCATCCCCTTGTCCGCATCCTGGGGTCACAGGGCAACGTTTTAGGCACTGGGGCGGGGGTCCTCAAGGAGGTGCCTGTCTGTCCCTACACAGAGCAGCCACAGCGTGGGCATTGCTCACCTCTTGGTATAACACACTATCCTGCAGATTCTGACTGTGCTGCCTTGGGGTGGGAGGTTGCCCACTTTGCTGCTGATGAGTCAGAGTCCGGTTGGGGCCGCAATGGCAGGGGCCTGTCGCGAGGATCACAGTAGGCCTCTGGCAGGGCCTGGCTTGGGACTGAGGTGGCAGGGCGCAGACCCCCTCCTGGCGTGCTGAGCAGCAGCTTCTGCTCGGGGGGTTCGGGCTGACGGCGTGTCCCCTTCTGTGCCAGCGTGTCCGGAGCGGAGACTGGAAGGGCTACACAGGCAAGAGCATCACGGACATCATCAACATCGGCATCGGCGGCTCGGACCTGGTGAGGACAGGGCTCGTGCCCAGCCTGGCTGTGCCCACCGCTGAGCCGCTGGAGTTTTCTGATGCCTGTTTCCCCGCAGGGGCCCCTCATGGTGACCGAAGCCCTCAAGCCATACTCCGCGGGAGGCCCCCGGGTCTGGTTTGTCTCCAACATTGACGGGACCCACATTGCCAAGACTCTGACTGCCTTGAACCCCGAGACCTCCCTGTTCATCATCGCCTCCAAGGTACAGACCTGGGACCCAGCCTGGCTCCCCAGCGCTTAGGTGGGTGGGGAGGGGTGCTTTAACACTGCGCTGGGCTCTGGACCCTCCCAGCGACCCAGGTAGGTTCACTTTGTGGCTTCAGCCAGCACAGCTGCCCTCAGACAGCTGCTTGTCTTTGGCAAAGGTGATTTACCCCCCACAGCCCACATTCGTCAATTTCGGCCTTGTTCTGCAGCCCCAGCCCTCTTGCTTTGAGGTTCCGCTTAGCTTGGGGCTGTTCAAGTCTTTCTTAGAGATCGGCCCCAAGTGTCTGCTTTCTGGCCCTGCAGCCATGACCAGATCATGTAAAGGCTCTGTCTGTTGTCATTTTGCCCAGTTTATTCATATCAGTGTGCAGCAAACATTAGGTGTCCGTCCAGATCCTGAGATACAGCCTAGCCCAGGAGGAAGGGCCTGTGGCGAGGTTGCGGCTCCTCTGGAAGACGTCCTGGTCTTGACCAGTGTGTGTGGGAGGGGAGCAGAGGGCAGTTGTGCCTTCGACGGCCCCCATTCCCACCCCATTGCAAAGTTCTGAATCACAGGATGAGGCTGCTGCTTCTGGGTCCCGCCCCAGACAAAGCCACTCACATGAGTAGAGGTGATGTGGGGTGACTGTCATTGACCCTCGTGCACTGACAGCCGGGTACCCTGGTGGCTTCTGCTGCTGGACCCTGGCTGGAGGCCCCACCCAGCTGAGCTGGGGCCTGACGGCTCTGCTCTCTTGCTGCAGACCTTTACCACCCAGGAGACCATCACAAACGCGGAGACTGCCAAGGAGTGGTTTCTCCTGTCTGCCAAGGATGTGAGTACTAGGGCGGGCGGCGGGCGGTGCACGAAGTGGGAGGCACCAGGTGGGCCCCTCCTATAGCCGGATTTCCCCCTAAGCTGGCAGCGAGAGGCAGCCTCTCTGGTGCCTGCCTTTTCTCCTTGGAGCTGTCTGGCCTTGCCAGCCCCCACACACGAAACATGACAGGACCTGCTCTGGCAGCCCTTTCTTTAAGGCCCCAGGGCCCGGTGAGCGCCTCTGTCCTGGCCGCACCCACTTTATAGGGAAGGCATATTCCTGGCCTGTGTGCCTGTGAGGTAGGACGGGCAGGCTGGCCTCTGCGCCCTCTGCCCTCTTGACCCAGATGTCAGGCTCCTTAAGCATCCTCAGAACCTAGCGCAGGGAGCAGTGGTCCTAGCAGGACCTTGGTTTCTGCAGAAATGGGAGGGTCCTCACCCTGGTCGGCTACGGGTGGGTTCCTCGTGACCTGGCTCTGTCTCTTGCAGCCCTCTGCAGTTTCGAAGCACTTTATTGCCCTGTCCACCAACACGGTGAGTGCCTGTGTGGGCTGCGCTCACCCTCACCCCCCCGGAAGCATCTGCGCCACCTCAAGGTCATGACCTTTCAGGGTACACAAGCTGTGATGTGGCTGTTGGAGCCCAGGAGGCCATGGAATGGCCTACTTCCAGCAGGATGGAAGTCGGTTGCCTCTGAGGGGCGAGAATGGTCAAGGGCCCTTGCCTCTTACTCTGCCGTTACACTTCTGTAGCCCTGGTGGGGTCTCACGGTTGGCGGGACCAACCCGGTCTGTCTCCCGGCCTCGTTTCCCGACCCCGCACGCACAGGGCCTCCCCTGGCCTCTGCGGCACTGCACGGGCCTCTCCCCAGCGGGTTGTGCTGGGTAGGAGTGGGGCCTGCAGGGCAGGGATCACTTGGCTTGGGGATTGGTGAGTCAGTGATTCCAGCGTAGCATGTGGGTCATCTGCCTGCCAGCTCTCCGGTTTACCTGTGCAAGGTAGCGTGGAGCTGCATTGGCGGGCAGGCTGGGCATGCTCTGGAGCAGACCGTGCCAAATCTTGTGAGCAGCCGCTGCATGCCATGTGCGTGGGTCTTCTTGAGCAGCCCCTTCCGTCCTCACTGCACCCCTTCTCCAGGGCTTGCCCTGAAACAGGAGAGCGTCTTAGGACTGGCCACAGCACCGTTCTCTGCCTCCTGGCGGCAGAGCTCAGACTGGTCAGGAGGGCGGCTCCTTGGGGCCTAGGGAAAGGATTGCTGTCTGCGTCTCCAGGGCCCGAGTCCGTGAGGATAGGACTGGCTGTCTGCTGAAGGCCGCCTGGGGTGGTCACCATCCCAGATCCTCCAGTGCCTCAACACGTGTCTGAGCCGGGCCCTTGCCTGTGCTCAGATTCAGCCCTAGACTGGGTTCCCAGTTGTCTCGGGGAGTTGGCGCCCCCTACAGCAGTGGGGGGGGGGGGCCGAGGTGGTACCCCACCTCGCAGGGGGGCTTTGCTGGCGCCAGGTCACTGGCATGCTGCGTGCAGGCCTCTGGTGTCCATCCCGGGTGGGGGCGGCTTCTGGTCTCTACCCTCATCCACAGGCTGCCCCACTCGGGTACGCCAGCAGCTTGAGGGGCGTGGCGTGTCCTGGAGCTCTTGGTTTGCCAGCTAATGCGTGCTTCTCTCTTCTTCCCTCCCTTTGCCCTTTTTAGAGTAAAGTGAAGGAGTTTGGAATTGACCCACAAAACATGTTCGAGTTCTGGGATGTAAGTAAAGGCACTTCTTTGCGCTGGGTGAATTGTGTCCTTTGCCAAGTCATGAGCATTGAGCCAAGGATGCGGGGCGGTGAGGTCAGATCAACATTTATTGAGCACCTGCTGCATGTCTGACTTTGAAGGGCAGAGGAGACCCATAGAGACGTGGGGTGGGAGCAGCCCAGTCAGGGTGAAGATTCTGCTTCTACCCAGCTAGCAAAGGGATGGCACTCCCCTGGGTGAGGTAACCGGAGCCACCCCTGCCCCCCTCACTATGCTGAGGTGGTGAGTTATTCTCAGTGGTGACCTTTCTCTGAAGGGCAGTCATCTCTAAAGGCCAAGGGGCAGGGTGAGGTGGGAGGTGTGAGGCCTGGGGGAGGCTGCGCAGCCGCTAGAGAGCAGCAGAGAGCAAGCGTGGGCCTGGCCGTGAGCCGGGGGCCTGCTGGCCTCAGCTGTCACCCCGATGCCGCTGCTGGAGCTGTAGCCAGGCCAAGCAGTGAGTAGGAGCCTTCCCTGAAGCCTTGCTGAGAGTAAAAAGGGCTGCGGCTTTGGGGAACTGGGGTGACATGAGGGCATGGCTGCTCTGAAGGCAGTGACCCTGACAGGCACACCATGGCGGGCGCCATCCTGCTGGGGGTTTTCCCACAGCCCTGTTGACCTGAAGCTCTCTGTTTGGTGGCAGCATCCCCGGGTGTCACCTTTGAAAGCTTTGAAGATCTTGGATCTGGCAGAGAATTAAGCCCTTAGGCAGCTATTGTGTGTAATAAGTTAACTTCTTTCTAGAATGGGGATAGCTATGTACCATCCTTGGGAGAATTTCGAAGAGTCATTGTGCCATTCTGGTGACTCAGAGGAGGAGCCCTGGTGGAGACAGACTGTACAGGTCCTAACTGATACTGCACACCTGACTAAGGGGGGGGGGCATCTTCCACCTCCTCCCTGGGACCTGGAGCCCGAGCAGGCAGCGGTCAGAGGTGTGCGGTGCTCCTGCCTCTCAAGAAGCCCCCAGAACAAGGGTGTGCCCCACTGCGGCTTTCGCTGACTAAAGTGCCTAGTAGGCAGATGCGTGGAGTGTGGCTTAGGGAGACACACGGGTCTCCCCGGTAAGGCCTAGGAGTGGCAGTTGAGCACAGACACCTGGACTGGAGCTGCTGAGTGGCCAGGCTAAGCACAGGGGAGACATCCTGTCCCGGACGGGTCATAGCGTGTGCCACAGTGGCTGAGCCGAGACGGTGCCATCTCAGAGCCAGGGCAGGGACAGAGACAGTGATGTTTCTAGAGCTAGGGAATCTCAGGTGAGACAGAGGAGTACAGGAGAGGTACAGGGCTACTGCTCTGGCTCTCAGGTAAGCTCAGAATTGTCCAGCCTGCAATGGTACGTATCCATGGTGAGGTCTTGTCCATCAGGGCCAGCCCTGGGCAGCGTCGGGTGTCGGGATCAGGCAAGGTATGGGGGAAAACTGGGCTCTGCGGCTGAGCCAGAGTCAGCACATACCGGAGGGTAAATTTGGGTTGATGAGTTTTAAGAACAAGCAGGCACAGGTAAGTTCTGAGGAAAACCAGGACAGGTCAAGTACAGGTGAGATCTGCAAATGCTGGAATTGTGTCTTCATAATTGTTAAGAGCTATTTCTCTCAAATGAGTTCTAAGGAGCCAAAAACACAGACAAGTATTTAACACTGGGCCTGTGAGTTGAGGTCTCCGGTGTGGGACAGGTGTGTACGCTGGGATGTCTCTGAGCAGGTCTGAAGGGTAACCAGCAGGTAGTAGGTGGCTGAAAACATGAATGAAATGTGAACTTTGAATTTAGGATTTGGCAAATGCGGGCAGCCACCTGGCTCTCGCATCCTGACCAGGCACGATGGGCAGCAGGCAGAGTGGAGCCTGACGGCCGCGACCAGTCCCAGGCGAGGTCTGTGCCTTTGGGCTCTGCCCGGGCAGGGTATGAGAAGCCCAGATTAGGCAGAGCTAGGAATACACCTGGTTGTGAAGCTGAGGGCTGGGGAGCTGGAGCACATGGAGGACAGACGGGAAGCTGAGCACACTGCTCCATCAGAGCAGCAAACCCTGAAAGGTCAGGGCCTGGAGGTCCGTGCCAGGAGGGTGAAATCTCAGGCCTTGGCCATGCAGACACTCTCTGGTGCCACTGGGCTCTCTCATGGGTTCTTCAGGCTGAGGTGAGGAGTCAGGAACCTGCCAGGTGGAAGGATGTGTCTGTCAGGTCAGGTTGGCATGGCGGGGCCTGCTGGTGGTCTGCAGAGCCCTGTCTCCTTGAGCTCTCAGCTGGCATTACTAGTTCCTCAGGGGAGGCCGGAGGAGTTGAGAGGAGGCACATGAGGTAGAGCTGGGTCACCGTGTGAGGCCACTGGAGCCGGCCAGAGGTGGGCAGAGATGGCAGAGTCTGTTAAGTGAGGCCCAGAATCACTATGGGGTCCAAGTCACAAGTATTTTCTCAGGTGAGGCCTGAGCAGTTCTGGCAATGTACAGCTCCATGGTCTTGGGTTGGCCCTGCATCCTTCTGGAAGGCTTAGGAGTTCTGGGTCTGCCTCAGCTGTGTAAGCTGGTCTCTCAGGTGAGGCTTGAGGAGTTGAGGTAAGATACAGGTTTGGTACTTTCAGATCTCAGGTAAGGTTGAGCTGCAAAGGTCCAGGTCTGGTTTATCCTCTGAATCTGGGTCAAGCACAGGTGAGAGAGATGCATTTTTCGGATAATATTCATGAAACCAAAGACGGGCAGAAGTGGTTGACCTGAAAAGCCACACAGTTCTGAAACTGTCGCACACTTGAGCTGAGGCTCAGGAAGGTCCAGCAGACTTGTCAGGTGGCCTGGATCACCTTCTAGCGTGATGCACGTAGACGCTGAGACTAGACTTTGAGACTCTCAAGTGCTGACCGGTGGAGAGAGCTTTCAGGTGAAATCTGAGGGGCAGGATTGGGCACATTGGGAGAATAGATCTGGACTCCCTAGGTGAGGTCAAGGTAAGCACGGACAACTTTTGGAGCTAGCTTATGAGGTCAAGGCGTGGTGGCCAGGCAGAGAATTGTGTTTCTCAGGTAAGGTCGAAGGAGTCTGTGTTTGGCATGGGTTTGTATCCTTGGGTCTCCCCGCCTGGGCAAATGCAGGTGGGTAGAGCCTGGTTTGTCAGGTAAGGTCTGTGAAGCCAGACACACAGCCGGTTCACAAAACAAGGTCTGTTCAGTGAGTTCAAGATGGTGACACTGGAGGCTAAGTGAGACCCAGATTTCCCAGACAAGATGTGAGCAACTGAGATGAGGTACAAAAAGGTAGAGCTAGTCTGCCTAGTGCAGTCTTAGGTCCTTAGAGCAAGCACAGGTAGGTGGAACAGGCCTGCCAGGTGACACCATTGGAGCCACAGCCAGGCACAAGTAGATAGAAGTGGCCGCAGCTGGTCTGCAGAGCACAGAGCTCCGCACAGGTAGGCAGAAATGGTCTGCCAGTGGCCAGGGTCAAATACAGGTAGGTAGAACTGGCTCACCAAGTGTCATCTGAGGAGCTAAGGTCAAGCACAGGTAGGCAGAACTCACCTGCCAGGTGTGGCATAAAGAGCCAGTCAAGACTAGTAAGTAGAGTTGACTGCCAGGTGTGGTCAGAGCAGCCAGCATCACAGGTAACAGCTGATGGCCAGGTGTCTGAGCAAAGTCAAAGTGAAGCACAGGTAGGTAGAAATGGTCCACCAGGTGTCATATGAGGAGCCAAGGTCAAGTACAGGTAGGCAGAGCTGGTTCCGCAGATGAGGTCTGAGGACCAAGGGTCAAATAGAGGTAGGTGGAGCAGGCCCAGCACGTGTGATTGGAGTAACAAGGGTTAGGCACAGAATAATGTGCCAGGTAGCGTCTGAAGCACCAGCATCACTGATAGGTAGAGATAGCTGGCCCACCAGGTTAGGTCTGAGGAGCAAAGGTCAAACTACAGCAGGCAGAACTGGCCCACCATGTGCAATTTGAAGGAGCAGTGCCAAGTGCAGAATAACCCAAATGCTGCACCAGGTGAGGTGCGACAGGCCAGTATCAGACACAGCAGGCAGAATCGGCTTGCTGGGACTCAGTGTCAAACACAGGTCGGCAGAACTGGTCCACCAGGTGAGATTTAGGGGACCATGGTCTGATATAGGTAGATAAAGCTGACCTGCCAGGTAAAATCTGAGGAGCCAGGGTCAAATACAGGGAGGTAGAATGGACCTTTCAGGTATAGTCAAGGACCTCGAGTCAAACATGGGTAGGAAGAACTGGCCTTGCAGTTGTGTTCTGGGAGCCCAGGTAGGCAAAACTGACTCTCTAGCTGCAGTGGAAGGAACTGGCCTGCCAGCTGAGGTCTGGACCCAGGATCAGTCACAGGTTGGCAAAGTTGGTCCATCAGATGAGGTCCAAGGAGCCCAGCACAAGCACAGGTTAAGCAAAGCTGGCCTGCCAGATGAGGTTGGAGCGACCAGGGCAGAGTCAGGTAGGCAAAGCTGACTGGCCAGGAGTGTTCTGAGGACATTAGGTCAAGCCACAGGTAAGCAGAGCCGGCCCACCAGTGTTGTCTGAGGAGCCCAGGTCAAGCACAAGTAAGCAGAGCTGCGCTCCAGTTCCTGTGAGGAACCAGGGGTATGTACAGTGCCTGCCAGGTGTGGTCTGAGGAACCAAAGTCAAGAACAGGTAGTCACAGTTTACCTGCCAAACTTGGTCTAAGGACCCAGCATCAGGTACAGGTAGGAAGCACTGCCCTGTCAGGTGTGGTCTGAAGAGCCAAGGTCAAGCACAGGTAGGTAGAGCTGGTCTGCCAGGTACAGTCCAAGGACCCAGGGTCAATGGATAGGTAGGTTGACTGGCCCACCACCTGTGATGTGTCAGAGGCTGTCAGAAAACCCATCCGCCAAGGGTAGTGTCTTGAGGCTCAAGAGGTAGGGTTGAACACGGGTAGAGTTGATAGAGTTGACTTTCTCAGGTACTGTGTTCAGGCACAGGCATGAGCCCTTGGGGCCTTGTGTTGCGGTCTGGGGAACCACGGGTATGCCTGGGTGGGTGGCCGAGTGGCCTCTCAGTCAGGCGCCAGCCCTGGCTCTTCTGTGGGGAGGCTGAATACTGGCACTCCAGGGGGGTCTCTGGGCCCTCCGTTCAACATGGGTGGGTGCATGGGTCTCGCTTAGGCTAGGACTTTGAAGCCAGGGCTACATCCACCTGGGTATGACAAGTGATATCCTTGAAGCCTGGTCTGGCTCAGGTGTGCCAACTTGGCTTTGTTAGTGACTATGGACCCATGCGCTCCTGGGTAGAGGTGTATAAACTTGATGTTAGGGTGTTCCTACCACCTAGGTTCAGGTACAGATGAGCATCTTGTCGGGTGAAATGAGAGGGGCAACCAACGCATGATGGGTGTGGCCGAGAAGGTGGGTGAGACCTACAGGGCGGGAGCTTTGGTGCTGGGCTGGGAACTGGTAGGTGGGTAATATGTACCCTAAGGAAAAGCCAGAGTCGTCGTGGGTATGTGTGCCTGCCTCAGCCCAGAAAGGCCTGGGGCACCCTTGGGGTCAGGTCAGACTGGAAGAATGTCCTGAGCCAAGTCACCACCTGTCCCCAGCACCCTGGTCAGGGATGATGGGCAGAGCTCAGGGTGTGTAGAGGTCTCAGGCTCTATACCAGATCCAGGTGTGGTCGGTGACAGTGAGGTCTGATTGGCTCAGGGTGGGAGTTACCCGGGTGAGGAAAAAGGCCTGGACAGATGAGTCAGGTCTGGGCAGCTGAGGCGCGCAGCAGCAGACCTTGGCAGAGGAGCTGCATGTGCCTACTTGGAGAGGCCCCTGAAATGACGGTGCGCTCCAGAGCCCCGTGTCTGCAAGCCCAGGTGTCAGAGGCTCAGGTGAGATCCTGGCATTGCTGGACTCCCCCAGAGTGAAGTTTGAGGACCTGGTCTCAGCCAAGGTAGCAGCCTGGCATTTGTTGGTCTGAGGATCAGATGTTCACTCAGCCCACTCTCTAGGACTGAGTGGTTAGGTGAGTCCTGAGAGCCTGTGGTGGGCATTGTGATCCGTGGGGTGGTTAAGTAAGGGCCTCACCGTTTATTTCATCGCCCAAGCCGGAAACCTGGGGGCCAAACTTGAGGCTCTCCTTCTCCTGCTATTTGATTGAACCTCCTGAATCCTCTGTGTCTCCCTCATGGAGGAAAATCATCTCTCCCTGGTTACTGGGGCCCCACATGGTCTCCTTCCATTCTCACCCACACACTCCTTCCTTTACCTTTGATTATACTATTCTTCCTCTTGCCCAGCCGGTCTCGATAGATTTCCAGGAGAGAAATCTATTTAGAAAGGTACTACTCTTAGACCATCCTTAGAAGAACTGAGGAATATTTTCTGTGGGACTTCTCTTATCGTGAAGAAAGGCTTAATAGGGCCCTCCCTGGTGGCACAGCTTCACACTACACTGTGAAGCTGAGCCAAGCCATGGCTGCATCTGTGTGAGTTCAATCCCTGGCCTAGAGGTGACCCACATGGCTCAGCAGACCTCTTCTGTCTCACCTGCTGCTCCCCTCGGCAGTGTATTTTGTAGATCCGCCTTTTCTGCTCCCTACTCTGTCTCTGGTGAATCCTCTCACCACCCCAGGAAGCAGGGCTGATACAGGCAGGAGGCACTGGTCAGTATAGGGAGTCAGGAATGGGCACAGGTACGAGGCACTGTCTGTCACCCAGTCTGAGAGGACTTGGAAGTGAGTACAGGTATGAGGCACTGGGTCTGTCAGTGTCAGAAGGGGCAAGGCCAGGTTCAGGCAGGAGGCATTGATCTTCCTGTGTCTGAAGAGCTGGGAGCAGGCCAGGTAGGAGGGTTTCGTTCTTTCATTGTTCCGGGAATTGTGACTGGGCACAGGTAGGAGGTGCTGGTTCTGTCAGTTTTCCAAGAGGTCAAAACAGGTATGAGGCTCTGGGTTTGTTGGTCCCTATGGAGTCTGGATCTGACACAGGTATGAGGGCTGGGGTCTGCCAGAGTCTGAGGAAGCAGGGCCAGACACAGGTATGAGGACCCAGATCTGTCAGTATTCGATAAGACGTGCACAGGTAGGAGATGCGGGATCTCTCATTGAGCTTGGAGGCAGATTCAGACACAGGTATGGATTTTGATATGTGAGTGTCCAAGGAAGTGGCTTAAACGCAGGTAGGAGGCACTGGGCTATCAATGCCTGAGGAG